TCAAAAATAAACGCCAAGTCTTAGCCACTTGAAAGTTGCGTTTTAATGAGATAGAATTTAATGGACTACAAAAATGCATATTTAGATTTTTTTTTTAAATTCTTTAAAATGTTGGATGTAAAAATTTGTTCAATTTTTCTTATTTTTCTACAAAGTTTGAAATTTAGACCGATGGTTTTTGTTAAAAAATAAGCTGTATTAAAAAAAAATTATAATCATTAAATAAACAAAAGAAAAATAATCAATACTAATCAAAATGTCGTGTCCCTATTATTTTTCACATGACTGTATGTATGTACATTAAAAACAAAACTTAAACAAAACTTAAAAAAAAAGTAAATTCAGTCTGATTAACACTTATTCACATTCTTATTATTTAATATTGCCCTTTAAATCTTCTATCTCCAATAGACGACGATTTCTCTCTATTTTACTCTCCACTTCACTAAGTCTAAGTTTTTCCATAAATAAATTATGTCGCTTCATTTCTTCCACTTTTTCCTTTTCTAGTTGAAACACTTTTTCAAAATTTTGCTTTTGAACGTCATAAATCCGATCAAGGGAGCGATAATTTTTTTTTGTAATTTCCTTTTGGTCCTTTAAACCCGTCACAGCCTCTTTTATTGACTCACACACCTCTTTCTACCTCTTTCTGTACACCGATTTCCTCTACAAACATATCGTTAGTATAGCTATTTTGCGCCTTGCGGAGGGTTGCGTTTTTTTTCGTTGGCGGCTGATACGGAGTAACTTCCTCAAGTTCTTCAATAATGCTATCGAGTATATCATTCTCTGCTGTGGAATTATCTGCAGGTCACTTTGTCACATGACTTGAAAGGCCAAACTTGAGTATATTTGATACACCTTCCACAGATTCCTTCATCCCAACTAACTCGTATATGGCTTCTTCAGTAGGCGACAATTTGTGTTCCATGTTGGGTCCTCCACCAGTTCCTTTGCTGGTTTTTAGATTTTGGGCCGCCTTTCGCCGTACGTATTTTTTTTGATCAGCCCAAACCTGAAATATGTATTGCACTTTTAATTCTTATACCCGCAAGTAGCTTATCATCATTACCTTTTTCCATTCGCACACATTTTTCATTGGTGGCCTTGCTGAGTTTAAATCCTCTTCCACCTGGCGCCAAAACTTGTTAACATCGTCCTTCTGGCCTTTAAAAAAAACGCGCGCAATGTCTGGGTGCGCTTGCATGCGACTTAAAAGCAGCTCGATCTGATGTTTATTGGTTGGTTTTGACCTGGGTGTAATAATAATGTTATTAGTATTCATTTTAATAAAAGTAAATAATAATAAATATTCCATTTATTATGCAAAAATTTAATTACTTACATTTTTGATAAGGACTCTCTTTAAATTTCTTAGCGGAAAAATTCTCCAGAAATGTCATCACAATCTCCCTTTTTTCACATTCGCAATAGCTACTTTTTACGCGAGAAACAAATTCCCATTTTCGAAGTTTATTTGGAATTGGAGGAAAAGGAAAAGAGAAAAAAAAATCCCCGACATATGCCATTCAGAATAGGAGGAAAGGGAAAAGAGAAAAAATTCCCCGAGAGTTGTCATTCAGAATCGGGCTGATAGATACATCCATACATAAAATGTGTGTGTTACATAAAAAATATGCTTTTATTATTGCACTCGTTTTTACCAACTTTTTAAAAAGAGGTGCATATGTTGTTTCGAATTCGATTTGCTAAGGAAAGATAAGCTTTGTTCTTCCCCTCCTCCTAACGGCTTTCAAAATGGGATTCATTTGCGTTCAAATCTTCCACTCTGTAGTAAATGCAAATGTTTTGGAGTGCTCAAACAACGTTTATAATTTCACTGACTCTAAGCGTAACACAGGTCAAGATGAATTCCTTATGACTTTGCTCATCTGAAAAAGATCAAACCTGTCCCTAAATCTCCGCCTTTCAAATTCCGCATCAGCAATATGGGACTCGTTCTTCTCTTCAAGCAATAACGCCGCGGCTGTGGATTTCATTCTTATAATTATGTATCCACTTAAATTTTATTTTTAAATTACTGTGATGCTAGGTATATTTAGTTATATTAAAATATTTACAAACTTTAAGTTCATATGCTGCTATAGTTTGGTGGCAAATATTTCTTTGTTTTGTTTCGATTTCACACATTCCTAGGCAAACAGCTGATTTCGAAAGATGTTTTCTCTCTTCCTCTTCTTCTTTCGTTTCGATCGTAACGCAGAATACCGAAGTTCGATTCCAGCGGAGCGGAATGCGGGAACGTAATCGAAATGCAGAATAGGGCTGAGTATTTAGAATTCAACGCTGAGCTGCCGCCGTGTTGAAAAAATCGTTCAATGTTACAATGAATTAAACAGTGTAAAATTATATAGCAAACATCTTAAAAACATATATTTAGAAACGTAGTATTATTATAAAATATTATAGTTATCTTATCACAATAAAATATAATAAATTTGTTTGCAACTGCCACCTAACGAAGTGGCGTTAAATTTAATATATTTTCGATCAGCTGTTTAGGGTAAGCCCAACATGTTGGCTTCAGGTAGCGTAAACATTTTCCGCTGAAATGGCGGAAAGTTGCCAACTGTTAAGCTGAGCGGAACTACTCAACTGTGCGTTTCTAAGACAAATAGCCAACGGTTGGGCAACAGCTACGTCTTATAAACGCGCCCAGTGTGCAAGTTTCAACAGCCTTAAAACCTTTGATTCTTTTTGTCGCATTCGCTACCATATAACGAATTAACACAATTTATTTTTATATGGAAGAAAACCGCAACAACGGAATTTTTTTAGCCACTTGAAACTTGCACATTATTGCAATCAAATTGAAAGGGCTTTAAATCTATATACTCAAAAAATTCTGAGAAAATAATTTTGACATTTGAATGAACATTTTTAGATTTTTTTAGTTTTCTACAGTTTTAAATTTGAAAGAAAATTCTTAAAAATAAATAAATGAACATAAGTGGTAAACAATATCACTTTGAAATGAGGTGCTCTTGATATGACTGCATGTACATTAGGGTGGTCCAAAACAGTAAAGTCGGAATTGTAATGGTCTAACCCCCTAGGATTGTTCTATATTTATTTATTTATTTATTTAGTCTAATAAACTTATAAAAGTTCCTTACAGACTAATAACAAAATTCAGCTTAGTTACTAAATAATAATAGATAAGAACTAGAAGATGGAATCCAAGGAGTTTTTAAAAACATCTAATGAAAATGCAAAATCGATTGAAACATTGTTTGAAATCATATTAAGTTCGTTTAAAGCTCGTGGAATAGGGGCATTACGGGAGTATTCAGTTTTGTACCTGCCCCCGTAGAATGGTAAGAAGTTACGCAGGTTTCGCTGAGGAATATTAAAATTAATTTTTTTCAAAAGAACAGGACAATCAATAACACCTCTAATTAAATTAAAAGTAAAAGATATAGATAGTACAGATCTTCTAGTTTCTAAAGACTTCAGACCGTGATCTATATGATGGCAAAGGTTCTGAAAAATTTAGGGTACGTAGTGAAAACTTTAAGAAGACCTTTTGAACACGTTCAATCCTACTAATTAAATAGTTTTGTGAAGGTCTCCAAATAATTACGGCATATTCTAAATTTGACCGAACAAAAGAGGTATACAGTAATTTTAGCGTGTAGGGATCAGAAAATTTTGTGCTATTACGCCTTACGAAACCCAGCATCGCATACGATTTAGCAACAATGTGAGAAATATGGCTGCTGAAAGTAAAATTCGAAGAAAAAATTACTCCAAGATCTTTGATTTCGTTAATTGATTCTAAAACAGAATTAGATATAATATAACTTGTAGGCACAGTTTTGTGTATTTTTGCGTACGTAACTTTGAAACATTTTTCAATATTCAAGGCAAGAATATTTTTAGTGCACCAAACATGTAGGTTGTCTATTTCAGCCTGAAGCTGAACTGAATCAGCGGGACTTTTTATTATAGAAAAAACTTTCAAGTCGTCAGCGTATAGGAAAAAATTAGCAAAAGAAAAGCAATGGCTTATATCATTGATAAATAATATGAAGAGCAAAGGGCCTAATATACTCCCTTGGGGTACCCCAGAAGTGGCTATAAAAGGCGCAGAAGTTACACCTTCTACTGTGACAACACAACGCCTATCACTTAAATACGATTTAATCCATTGCAAAAAAATTGAATGGAACCCCAAGGAGGCAAACTTACGAATTAAAATCGAATGACAAACCTTGTCGAAAGCCTTCGAAAAATCTGTGGAAATGCAGTCAACTTGAAACCCTTCTGCAAAAGATGCAATGCAATACTCACTAAAAACTGCAAGATTAGTAACCGTTGATCGATTAGCAACAAAACCGTGTTGATAAGGCAAAATCAAACTCTTCGTTACAAAATTTAATTTTTCAACTACAATAGTTTTAAAAAGTTTAGATACAGACGATAACTTTGATATTGGCCTATAATTGCAAACATCACTTTTGTTCCCACTTTTAAAAAGAGGGTTGATGGAAGTTATTTTCCAGTCATCTAAGAAAACCTCAGAGGCTAGAGACATATTATAAATTATTTTCAATGGGATAACTAAACCAGGACAGTTTTTAAACAGGACGGCTGAAAAGCCATCAATATCCGTCTTCACAGACAGTTTTAACTTGGAGATACCGTTGGCAACGTCATTGAAAGACAAACTTAGGGATCCAAAACAAAAAGATGAATTAGCCGTAAAGTTAAAGTCTGCTGAGGGCGTGCAACATCCTGGGTAAAATTCGAACCGAAAAATTCAGCAAAAAGATTGGCGATATCTGCGGGACAGTGAGCATATTTGTCATGAAAAAAAAAACAGCAGATGGTATACCGAAACTAGATTTTTTCGCTTTAATGAAATGCCAAAAAGACTTCGGGTTGGATTTAATTTTTGATTCAACATCAAGCAAATAGTTTCTGTAAAGAAATTTTTCTAAACAACTAAATTGCTTTTGAAATTTTTTATATTTAACTAAGAAGATCTGTAGCTCGTTTCTGTAACTGTTCTCTACCGATTATTTCTCTACTGATAGAGAATGGGACGTCAAATTGACGCCATTCTCTACTATTGTGTTTCTGTAAGTGTGGGAAGTAGAGTTTTGAATTCTCTACTAGTAGAGATATTGTCAACTGCTCTTTAGCAAGTGAGAACTGACAAAACGAGTTGAGAATGAATACGGTAAGTCATGTTTTTTAATTTAAAATCGGTTATATTTAAATTTATTTTTACTTTTAGAAAAGGTTAACAGCGCGCGTAACGCAAATTCAAAAAAAAAAACAACTAGTCGAGCATATGCGGCAAAACCGTACGCTGGCTTGTGGGCAGTTCTCTGGCCCGGATAGCTCCAAGAGAAATAAGGAAAAGTGGGAAGAAGTTGCTGCGGATTTAAATGCTGTCGGGGGAGCCAATAAAAGTGCTGAGCAGTGGAAAAGAGTATGTACATATGTATATATATTATATTGTAGTTGATTGTGTATTAAATTTTAATTTTAATTAATAAATTGTTTTAGTGTTGGATTGATTGGAAGGCGTCCATAAAGCAAACATTTTCCGCAATCAAAAGGTTTCAAAACCAGACGGGAAACCTTCCAAGCTGTTCAGGACCAAAGCCATTAGATAGTTTGGAAGAAGAAGTGGTTAACTTCATTTTGGTATAGGATGTTGTTGATGGTGATGGCAAAACTGTGGAGGGTGGATTCGATATACCTCTTGTAATTATAATATATATTCCTTTGATTAATTTTTCTCTGAATAACAATCTTAAAATTTAGCCGGCGCTCGACGATGACATTATATGTATGGAAGAGGAGTACCTGAATCAGGATGTCATTGAGGTATCTGTCAGCAAGACCACCTGCTCCAAAAACAAAAGCCCGATAAACACGCCACGGCGGAAAATAGCTAAAAATTCGCAGCAGAGCAAGGAACCACTGTATTCGGAGCTAGAGAAGGCAAAAAAAGAACTTGAAGCTCGCCTTTCCAGTCAGGAGAGGTACATGAATGAGGTGAAAGAAGAGCTGAAACAGATAAAAGGGGAACAACGGCGGACGAATGAACTGCTGGAAAAAATTGTAAAAGCTCTTAACAAATAAAAATTCCAAAAATATATATATTTAAACTTGTTTATTGTTTAGTACACACATTAAACAGACGGACAACTATTCAATAGATACAAAGTAAAGAACACAATATTAAAACCTTGCGACAGTCAGTTTTACACAAAGAAAGCAATACACTCGCGAAACTAAAAAACAAATGTAGCAAAACTGCATTTTTAGTTTTTCTAATTTGAAAAATAATTTCTGATGATCATTTGCCGGGTTCTACGACCTTCGGCTAAAATATTATTAGACAAGTTAAGATTATTGTCTTCTTCAAGTATATTTCGTTCGGTAATATCAACATCTGGCATTGCAATATTGTATTTCTTTCGAAAGTTATGCAATGTACAACAAGCATTGATTATATAACCAGCAAATGATGGCGTAACCATAAGTCTTGGGATAAGCAAGCAAATACTTTTTTCAGCACGCCGTTTAGTCGTTCAATGCAATTTCTAGCACGAATATGGGTTTCGTTGTATTTCATTTCAGCTGTGCATTGCGGATTTCCAATCGGCGTCATAAGCCATGGCTGCAGGGGATACCCCGAAACGCCAAGTAGCCATATATTTGATATTCCACTTCTATGTTTATCTTCTAAGAAAGCTTTTGCGTGACTGCTACTCCATATGAAAGCATCATGAGTGCTGCCTCCAAAACGACCATAGCAAGCAAGAATCGTTAAATCATAGTCACATATAAGCTGTACATTCTTTGAAAAAAAACCTTTACGATTACGATAACAGTGCTCCACATCTGTATTTGGTTTCTTAATTTTGACATGCGTGCAGTCAATTGCTCCTATAACCCCGGGAAATGTTGTACACACATGAAACCTGCATAAAGTAAAATTAAAATGTGAGTACTATTGTATATACATATCGATGGTCCTCTGCAATAACGGCACAACTCAAAATTTCCTGTTTTTGCATACCTTTGCTGAATGGCGCTGAACTCCCCGCTTGTACTAGGAAATTTCACATATTTGTTCATTAATTTTCTCACTATGATACCCGTTACCTCGTGTATTATGCGTGATATAGTTTTGCTTAAAGGACAAATGAAATCCTGCCCAATATCGCGCAGAAATGACCCAGTTGCATAAAAATGAAGGGCAGCTACCACTCAAATTTTTTGGAATAAATGTATTCTTAACACCACTCTTCATAAAAGGATTAATTTCCTCCAAAAGATTTATGCAGGCGTCTTTATTTAGCCGAAAAAGTTCTATGAAACGCGCCTCAGGGATTATAAATGGATCACATGAATCTCGCAACCGCCGACGTTGAACTCGAACCATATTTCGGTTATCGTACATTATAGCATAAATGATCACACGTATCTCACTCATTTTATAAAATTTATGTTAAATAATTAATTATGTTCGTTTGTCTCTAATTCTTATTATTTTGTTCATTTGTTTATTATTTGCTGATTTACACAATTTTGTGTAACATACTCATTTCTCAAAAATAAATGTCAAAACTTTCAAATTTACTTTTCAATTTCAACTCAACACGAATTTCTCTATAGGTGAGTTTTCGGAGTTATAGAAACATTAAAGTCTCAACGATTGACAAAAGCTTGGTGGTTGAGAACAAAGTCAATAGCAGTAGACAATTTCTCCACTGAGTTATAGAAACGAGCTACTGGTTTCCAGTTGTTTTAAACCTTTTCTTTCTTAGATTTTTTATTTTTTTAATCTTAAATTATACCAAGGAAACTTATGTGGACGTTTCTTAATAGCTGGAATGTTATTTACGCAAATCTCAAATAAAAGAGTTTTAAAAATAGAGAAAGAACTATATACATCAGGGCAAACCAAAATTTTTTCCCAATCGATTTCAGTAATTAAGCTATTTATCATGGAAAAATCACACCCAGAAAAATTAAAACCAACTATTTCGGTGGCAGGTGAATTCAAAAAGTCATGAAAAGCAAATATGAGAACCAAAGGCACATGATGTTTATCGCAAAGAGATATAGGAGAGTAACATTCCTCAATGTTGCAATTGATGTTATCACTTACAAATACAAGATCAAGATTCTATTTAATTCATTAAAAAAATTATTGATTTGCATTAAGTTAAGACTTAGAATATTATCAAGGAGATACGACTCATGATGTGCTGTAATATTCATTGGGGTAAGGCCAAAGTTTGAAAACGAACCGGACCAAGACACGTTGCATAGGTTAAAATCACCTAATACGCATAAGTGATTATCTCCTAACTTATTCGTGACTAATGAGCTAATATTATTAGCATGCGCGCAGTACAGTTCATTATTACTGTTTGGAGGAATGTAGGAAACCACGAAGTAAAGAGAACCCTTAGAAGAGGGCCCACTAATACAAATACAAAGTTGGTCAATAAGAGAGTCATTATTAGCTAAATCAACATTTTATGAACACAACTTCCTCCGAACGGCAATAAGAACTCCACCGCCTCTTATACAGCCAGTTTTTATCATATCTCTGTCCTTTCGGTACACATTATAAAACTTAGAGTCGAACAATTCTTCATCCAAAAAATTTCCATTAAGCCATGTCTCAACAATTACGTAAATGTCATAATCCAATTGAGAGCTATGAGTATGAACAGCTTCAACCTTGGTCCGAAGACCAGATCCATTCTGAAAATACACTTTTAAGCTAGTACTACATCCAATAATAGCATTAGATACATTTATGTTAGTCTCTGTTGATTTTCTTTTCGAAAAAAACGAAAAGGGCGCAGACTAACGTTAGCAGGCCAAATATCTGGTGAAAGAAGCTTTTCATAAAGTGGCAGAGATACACCTAACTTAAAATTAATCCTATTAGCTTTAACAGGCGGATTCTGTTTTTTAACTAAAGCATAACATGAAAGATGTTTTTTGTTTATACCAGCATGCCTAACTACGTATCCAACAATATTTTCTGCTGTTACGGATGGAAGGAAGGAGGACAAGTGAAACCATTTCTTCACATCCGCCACCTCCAAGTCAGTGTTAGAGCTCATTCCAGTGGCAATCATCCGTTTGCGTTGTTTATTTTTTCCCCTAACCTCTAACCTGAGAACGAAGACGACGATGAGGAATATGTAAACGCAGTAGCAGCACTAGACGAAGGCGCAGAATTAGTAGCCATATCACCAACAACAGATTGCGCATCAGTCAAAGTAGTGAGAGCAGTCGTAGTCTCAGAGTTTACTGTGGAAGCAGGTAACTGAGCACTATTAGCTTTAAATGCAGCAACAATAGGCACGATATTCGGCTTGGTGACAGAAATTTTTTGCGCTAACGATGACGTAGAGCCAACAACAGTAGATGTAGATGAATTTAGTCTGTTCCAATCGCAGTCCGGTTTACAGGATTTAGTCAGAACTTACAGGAAGTCGTTCCTATTGACATAAAACCTGTAAGTGGGAACACATTTGAGAGAGTAACTGAGCAACTGTTCCTAGTCAGAAGTTACAGGATTTAGTCCGGAGTTTCTTTTCCTGTAAGTTCATGAAAAGTGTCGAACGATCAGCTGATTTGCATGTGCAAGCAAAAACAAACAGCGGTGAAAGCAAAGTACCTTATATTTGTAAAAAAAATGGAAGTAAACAACGAAATGTTTGATTATGTATAGATTTTAATAATTATTTAGTGATATTTCAGCTAAATCAGTGTTGTACAAATGACATGTAAACAAACCGACTGACTTTTTTACAGGAAATAGTGCTTTTTGCGTTCCTATGCACTTCTGCATCTGTTCTCCTTTTACTCTCATTTGAGAGAGTAAAATTGTAGTTTGACAGTTCCACAGGTTTTAGTCCGAAGTTCAAAGGAACAGACTAATTATTAGCAGCATTGTCGGCAAGAAAAGACGAAGCAACTGAAGTATTGATAGCAGGTATCAGCGAACTAGTCTGAGCAGCAATAGGAGCAGGCGAAGCAATAACAACTTCTCCACTGATTAATTTCACTACTAAGCCTTTAAGGTCGTTGACCTCTTTAGTTAAACAAGCAATCGTCGAAGCCAAATTCGATGTACAAGTTCGACAATTGTTGCAATTAAAAACAATGTTTTCATTATTAGCAAGTAAATCAGAAAGATCTTTATTGTCGATTTTAGCACAGATTTTATGAAATTTGCTTTTGCACACTTGGCATGAGATTTCATAGCCAATACGAACGGATTTATATATATATAGAAAAAAGTGTACCCCTATTTTTTATTTTAAGGTCGCTCATCAAAGCGCTCAAAATTTTCCATGTATTTTTATACGGGGAAAAACAACTTCGTAAAAATGGTATAGAATTCTTGAAAATCAATATTTTTCGATCGAAAAACTCTGGTTCTCTTCAGGAGACTTACAATAATAAAACCCAATTATTTATTTAACGATTTTTTAATTGTCCCCTCATTGCATTTTTCCTGGTTTTTGTGGGTTTTTGGCGGACCTACAAATTATAGTTGCGATGAAAAAATGGTTAAATAAACAATTGGGTATTATTATTGGGAATCCTGCAGATGAAAAGAGTTTTCCGATAGAAAAACATTAGTTTTTTTGAATTCCAAACCATTTCTACCAAAAGTT